TTTTTATTAAAAAAAGTTAAGTGGTAAGCAAGAAAATAAGAAAGAATTAATAAATATGTCTTCGTACCACACGCAAGTTTTTCAATCAACAGAGGATTAAATCGAATGAGTTGTTAATATAATCGCTATTGCTTAATTTAACCTAAACGTAAAAAATGTTTGCTATATTTAATTCAGCGTTTATCATCATCAGCTCACTATACGTCCCCACCGAGGGGCTCGGAGCCTACCCTAAGTTCAGGGTGATTAGGCCATAGTCAACCACGCTGGCCAAGTGCGGGTTGGTTGACTTCACACATATCTCTGAATTACTTCTCAGATATGTGCAGGTTGCATCACGATGTTTTCCTTCATCGTAAGAACGTCGGATAAATGTACATATGTAAATCGGAAAATCGAAAAACACATTGGTACATGGCGGGATTCGAACCCAGGACCTGCAGATTGCAAGTCAAGTGCTTGACCACTGAGCCACCGACGCTCATTGAGCCACCGACGCTCTCTGAGCCACCGACGCTCAGAAAGTTTTTGTTCGAAAAAAGTGATCATTAAAACATGTATTATGTATGTATAAAAGATAAGGTATTAAAATCCAAATAATTTCCAAAAAATCCAAAACAATTTTAGACTGAAAATAATATCAATATCGATTTTTTAGCAAAATTATTTTTTTAAAGGCAAAAACAATTTATAAATATAGCCCCTTTATAACGTTCAGAAGAAACGGTATTTTTTCTATAATATTATACGATTGGGTTTTATAAGCGTCCGATTTAACGCAGTTGTATGTATAGTTATTAATCATCTTTTAATTTCAAATGAAAGCATTGAGTGAAGCCACAATCGTATCGACGTGACAAGCCAATAAACGTACAGTCACGCACGGACGTACTTCATATGAGGCTCTAATAATGTATCCGATAGGAACTATCAAGCCAATACGCACATATATGTACATAATAGCTTAATAATTACAACGGGGTAGTATTTAGCATCAAAATTCATGTTTAGTATCATTTACCTCGAGTTTCAATATACCTTTACAAAAACGTATTATCAGGCTCATTCAAAATATAAAAATAAAAATATGATTTTGTACATATGTTTCTGTCGTGATAATTCATTGCACCGTGGGATATCCCCCTGCGCTACAATAATTTTAATTTTGTACATGGAAAAAAATCATAAATAATACGTTATTAAATTAAAATATTAATTTGATTAATAATCCAATTTTACCAAAACTTGTTACGAGGTTTACTAAAAACTTAATTCAGCGCAGCGATGAAATATTCAACTAATTATGTTCGGTTCAAATTTTATTCAATTTTCGCGTTTCATCAGCGCACGGCTCTCACTGGACTCTCGGAATGCTTAGCTTTCAAATTTAATTATGAAGTTGATTTATTTATATAGGTCTAACCTTATTCACAACTGTCAACTATGAATAAGATGCCGAGTAAGTTTGTGTGTTTAGGAATTTGATTTGAATAACGATTAAATTTACGCAGTTGTGCAGTAAATATATTGACACCTCAGTAGCCCAGGGTTAAGAGGAGTGTATTTTAAAACATGTCCAGTCTTCTAAGCACAATTTTCAGCAGATTCTGAGATAAAAATCTATGCAAAAAAACGCAACTTCATAGGCAGACAATTTGACAATGTTCGAAAGGCATTACAATTTCCGCGTTTTTTATATTACTTTTCTTTGTCTATAAGAGAGATAAAACTAGGTTATCTAAGGTACACAATACTTTGTAATAAAAGATGAGTTTCCTTTTTGACATTGACATTGATTGATAATGCGTGAAAATATAGACGTGGAAAACTATTTTCTGAAATTTTCTTAATTAAAAAATGGCGTTTAATAAATGTCAGAAACAAATAAACAAAGTAACCGTATGCGGCTAAATCTCCTTATAAAATACGCAGCAAAATTAATTTATTCCAAAAGGCAGATTACAAAACCACAAAACCTAACCCCGCGTAAAAAGGTTTATTTGTTTTTCTTCTATTACTGTATCATATATTTTCTTTAACCGCAACCATAAACATGCAGTACGTCCTATTTTTTAATAGAGCAAAGGCATCATGAACGATTAAATTAATATTATCGTCTCTTAGTTCTTCATTAGATTTTTATTTTATGCCGACACTTTTGTAGGGGATTCCTTTTATATTTGTTTATCTATGGAACTCATAGTCTTTCGTTTATATAGTACTCCCAAGTGTAGAAATAGACATAAACAGAATATAATATCTGTTGGAAACAACAATTTACGTTGTTATGACTAATGCATATCGTAACGGTTCGTTACGTTTGACAGTCAATCTGTTGCGTCGTCGAGTGTAATGTGAATTGGCAGCTTGATAGACAGGGTCACCTCGACATCAGCGCCACATCATTATTCTAAAGTCAATATGCTTCGATAACTAAATTACGCATTAGAAACTATCGTCTATCATGTAAATTGGTAAATAAATTTATGTATATAGGTTGGGTTATTATTTATACTTTATATATAGATAATGTAGGTTAGTCAGTATGTTACCAACATAAACTCCCAACCAACACAGCCACTTACTTTAACTAAATTTGCTTTGTCACTCTTTTTTCATTTATCTTTTCAACATATATATATATACGCCTTATTTTGATCAGCTTCTGACGATCTATACAATATTTCAGCATTAGAAAATACATTTAGAGAACCGTGTCACACCGGGTGCAAGCGGGCTTAAGAGAATCCATCAATCCATTTAGTTCCGCTATGGATAAAACTAATGGGACATACTTAACTAGCTGTTACCGAGAAATTTTATACTTAATTCATTTTTAAATATTAGAGAACCACGATTATTCCATATTGCACTTTAAATTATAGCAAAAATTGGGTACATATCGTAACAAATATTGCAGGAAATTGAATCCTAAATATAGATTTATTCTCTTTTGTCTCTAAAAACTCGGATAAATGATATTTGTCGTATATTACTATATCAGTGTACGTTCAAGCATCTTTAATATTTCTAGACTAAAGCACACAAATTGTTAAACAAATATATCATTTACAATTGAAAATATTTTTTAATTGATTGTCACGATATCGAATGTGACATTTAATTAAAATTGTGTGGACACAATTATAGGCACGTCAGATGTCCATTGCAATTCATCTGCATTTTAATATAGAGTCATATTTAATTTGTAAAGCCGCATTGTCGTTCTCTTGACTTTTGCCCACGTTAATTGAAGTTGCCAACATTAAAAAAATCTCTATTGGGCACATTACATCGACCTTCTATAAGTTATCGCACGAATCAAACCAACTCATATCAACCTTCATGTATTTTCATCAATCTTATTTGACCGAATTGAAGCAACATATTCTTACACATCCGCGTACATATCTTCTTGTCGCGTGCTATTTTTCAATACAATTTAACCTTAGTGTTCCATTACAGATATATTCATACGAAAATATATAAATTTATCAAAGACAGACTAAAACTGTTGCTTAACTAAAACTTTTAAATGTTACAAAACATCAGTTAACACATTGTGTGATTTAAAATGTCGTAGTAAGTTCTGAATGCCACATTCTAACTGGCTGACACAATTACGCCTTTTCATATTCATATTCTATCCTATCGTATTCAATCCGTATTCAATGTTCGTAAAGCCAGCACTGCGTGTAATGCATTCCTACATGTACAGGAATTTCAAATTATATGCAGCCAGCTCCTGACCAGATTTATGAATAAAAACAGATAAAAAATATCCGCAATGTGACACAAAAACAATTTATTAACTTAAATACCAATAAATGTATTTTGCATTACAAATTATTTATTTTAAAAATAATTTCAACTTAAATAAAGACATTTATTAATATTTTAAAAATTAAAGTGTGTATTTTGTTTAAATATATTGAATTAATAATTTATGGAAATAATTAATGCAAAATCAATTAACCAAGCATTAGACGTTTTATATAAATCATGAAAATCAAGTTGAATTAAGTGTACCCATGTCTAACGAACAAGCATGAGTTATCTAACCCACGTCATATATCAAAATCGTAGGAAATGAGAATCCGGTATATCTCTACCTACAGAAATGTATATTTCGATCTAGCCTCATCAAGCATGCATTGCGACGTAAAAAAAATCAGTTTAAGAATATTGAAGTATTTTCTGAATAAATATTTGTACTCAATGAAAAAAAAATCCTTTTCTAGTAAAATCACAATTATGTGCATGATTTAGAAACGCGCAGGATATAAAATTAAACAAAGTAACACTTTCACTAATAAGAATTCATAACATTAGAACGATACATATAACTGAACTAGAACTTTGAAACATTCTTATACAACTACGAGTAAATATAAAGAAAAAGAGATTGATAAAAAAACTAGGAAATCCTATTCAGTGAATGCTTTGTCGGATACGCATTTCATTGTGACCACGGAAAACAAATGGTTTACCTTCAGACGGATTGACTGCGTCGCCGTCCTGAATTGAACTCCATTTACTTACGGATATTACTTGCCGTCATTGATTCATGTCACAATAAATTAATACATAGATTACGAGAGCGTCAGTGGCTCAGGGGTCAAGCACTTGACTTGCAATCTGCAGGTCCTGCGTTCGAATCCCGTCATGTACCAATGTGTTTTTCGATTTCCGATTTACATATGTACATTTATCCGACGTTCTTACGGTGAAGGAAAACATCGTGATGCAACCTGCATATATCTGAGAAGAAATTCAAAGATATGTGTGAATCAACCAACCCGCACTTGGCCAGCGTGGTTGACGATGGCCTAGTCACCCGTAACATAGGGTAGGCTCCGGGCCCCTCAGTGGGGACGTACAGTGAGCTGATGATGATGATGACATAGATTACTATTACACGACCATTGTTGGTGGAATAAACCTAAATTTTTTTTTTTATAACAGAAGGGGGCAAACGAGCAGCGGGAACACCGAAGTGTTCAACGACGCCCATGGACATCAACAATACCAGAGGAACCGCAGATGCGTTGCCGGCCTTTGAGGTGGTGATAGGCTCGCTTCTTGAAGGACCCTAAGTCGTATTGGTTTGGAAATACCGCCGAGGACAGACCGTTCCACAACGTGGCTGTGCGAGGCAAGAAGTTGCGCGAGAATCGCACCGTTGTGGAATGCCAGCCATCCAGGTGGTGTGGATGGAACCTGGCGGCCTGTCGTGTCGTCCGATGACGGAACTCGGCGGCAGGAATCGTTCCAAACAATTCTTCAGAGCACTCCCCGTGGTATATGCGGTAGAAAATGCAGAGGGAACTAACGTCCCTCCGCAGCGCCAGAGTGTCGAGCCGATCAGTAAGAGCTCGGTCGTTGACGATTCGAATCGCTCTCCGTTGTATGCGGTCAAATGGAAGAAGCTGGTACTGGGGTGCTCCCGCCCAGAGATGCGAGCAGTATTCCATGTGGGGCCGAACTTGCGCCTTATACAGCTGGAGGCGGTGGCCCGGTTGGAAATACTGCTTCGCTCTGCTGAGCACACCCAGTTTTTTGGATTTGTACATATAGCTCTACATAAGTAATTATAATAACTTTCTGATTCCTCTAATAAACTCTAGTGAAATTATAAAATCATTTTCCGCTTATTCGATTAGTTATCATATTAATTTGAGTTAAAATAAAAAAAAATAATATGAATGAACATTAGAGTCATCCTACATAATTAAAAAAGCAAATATTCCATAAGATATGCGCCCAATCTGTATTATAATAGAATCTGAATGCAAATCCATTTACATTGGGAGCGTATGCAAGACGGAATTACTAACCGAACATAATCTTGGTATTAGCAAGATCCCGGGTACATGATTTGAATTTTAAGCGATTCCTGCTTCAAGTTAATAATACGGATATAACAACACCATTATTAACTGATATTATGATAATAAATCTAAAAACAAATAAAATAAGGAAATAATTAAATTCATCCCGGAGGCCTAATTTAGTCCTCTTTCCTTTCCTACCCTTTTTCTCTATTAAGGAAAGGATGGGAAGTGGAAGTGGACATTCCGGATGAGAAGATGCATGGAAAGGGAAAATGTTTTCTTTCTGTGCATCCTCTCCTCCGTCGATTAAAGGTAGGCAACGCATATGCAATTGCGTATGTCTATGGGCAACGGTCACTTCGCTATTTCAGCGATTTCAGGTGGCCGCTAGCTCGTTTGCCACCTTATGATATAAAAAAAAATTAGAAATGGCGAATATTTACCGAAATTGTTTTAAATATGTTCAACTAAACATCAATCTCTTGCAAAGGAATGGTTTACGACAATAGTTTAACTTAAAATCTCTCGTAATTTACAATCCTTCAATTTATATCAAAGCGGAAAAGAATGCTTGAAACTACAAAAGCATGATTTTTGTTATTGTATGGTGGCTAAACTCATGTCATATTAAGTCACATAAGCTTAAATATGGACAGTGGATAAACAGCTTCATTGCGAAGACAGCTTATTATTTTTTATGTCGCTGATACGATTGGGGTGATTTAGGGATTTCAAGAGAATTTCCAATATTACGACAAAACAATGTTTTTTTTCTACAGTATTATATAGTTTATATTAATAACATTCTATGTACACGCGTATGATCGAAAAAGAGTATAACGAGTTCGTAAAATATACTGTTATAACTTTTTCGTACACGAGACTCAGATAAGGTTATGCTTGAAAGTTTTATAAATACGTACTTAGTTAAGTGAATCTTAAATTACACTTCTTTCGAAGTTCTTACTAAGTACTTTATCTGATCGGAGTTAGTTTATTTATTCAATTTGAGGGAAATTACATTTAGAATTTCCTGCTTTTTACAGCTTCTTCTCACTTTATAAGCAAATTTTAAAGGATTCAGGAAAGATTGTTAGCAATAAAGTTTAAAAATAAACTCAACCTTTACCATTATAAATAAGCCAACCGTTATGTTACATACAAAAAAATAAATTATATTCTAAATGATGTGGCAATAATAATGATTTAATTTCTCTATTTCATTATACTATTAAGCACACATTAGTCTACGTCTTTTTGTCCTTAATGAACCTCAATTTCGATTGAAGCAATTTGATTCTTTATTGTGTGTAACAAAAGATTGGAAAGAATCGTTAGGATCGATGGTTCTATAGGTCGGCCAATTTAATAAGCCACATTTGACATCTATAAATATTAGCAATTTAGAAAGTAGAGCTGCTTAAAAACATCGATAATAGTGAATGAATCGATTCGGACTTTAAACATATGTTTGTCGAATTCAGTTGCTATGAAATATCCATGGTTTTTTGGATGGACCACGCTTGACCAGATGAGTAGTCCATCTTATGTTGGTCTAGTCTACTCGTTTAAAGGCAAGTGTTAATATTACCTCCGCGTACAATAACATCGTCACACAACGTCAAATTACTGTTGGACTATGTATGTACAGTCAAATAGTGATTTTTAATGGTAAAATATTTTTTGAAACTTCAGCAACTATACCCAGGTTCATAGTTAATGATAATTTATTGCAATCTAGTTACATCTAAGGCTTTTATGAGCATTACCTAGCGTAGTGGCGGCCTCGTTTATCCCACAATCTCCGATTATATTGTGATAAATGTGCCTTAAAACAACACAGACAATGGACTTCCATTAGGATGCGTCATTCGCTTTTAAAACACGTAATAATTTACTGAGATTTTTTATACAATTGACCAAAGAGTACGTACACGTAATAAAACTTTATACGATTATTTAGGTATTTCTTCAATCAATTTGTAAATTGTTACGTTTGATCTACACCAGTTTTATAAGGTTCAATGCTAGTAAATTAACTAGCAGTGCCCATTTTAATATATTAATTAATCTAACCATGACTTTGGTAGAAATCCCAGGGAATTCTTCAAACTCATATACTTCACGTATTCTGATAGACATGTTTCTACTAATTTACGGCAAACAGCATAAATGTAAGACAGTCGCCAGGACTCTATCCAACTTGAAATCTTAGTTACATAATCGTTAGGCTGACATTGCTTTTTGTAGAGTTTTAATTATTCTTCGCTAAGCACATGAAATAATGCCAAAGTAAACGTAAAACAGAATAATAATGATTTAGTTTAACTTCATCAAATTTCTTATTGTAATCGAGAAATCTTTTGCAATTTAATCTCTTTAGGTCGTTAGTCTCGAAAATTCTGTCGTCAGATATTCAGCCTTCAAAATATGCTACGTTGTTAATCGTAATGCGTTAATTGCGGGCTATATGTAATTCAATTACTTAAACGAAATAGCATTAATTATATGCCGTATAAATATTTAGTGATAAAATTTAATAATAAAACTCATAAAGCAGATTTTTAACAGCAATATTGTGAAAAGAATAAACTTAAGATTGAATATACTTCACCGCTAGTACGTAACAGTTTTGTTAAATACATTATATATACTCTAGAAATAAACGGTTATATCATTTGATTGGGTTGACTTAGAAGTTTCATTTATTCACAGCACCTAGCGACCGCAGACCTGAACATTTGATATAAATTTCATCTTGATACCTTCACGCATTTTTGAGAAAAAGGGTCTTGACAAACAGACGGACGGACAACAAAATAATCCTATAAGGGTTCCGTTTTTTTCCTATGAGGTACGAAACCCTAAAAATGGCGAAAAGACGTTAAGAACAAGAGACTCCGCAGCAGATTTCATCTCCTTCAGAATACATTCGCGGTGTTTGTATTAAAAATGTGTAAGTTATAAATAATATTGTATTAAAATATAGAAACGCATGGGAATGTGTGCTAACACAATAACGATATCGCAATATAACTGAGAGACTCTATTTGTCTATGATAAATGAGTTCTATTTATCTTTGTAATCTGTTGAAGGCGATAACGTTCAATGTTTACTTTTTCTTAAATTAACTTCATGTACGTAAGTAGTTTAATAGAACGCGTGTGTTAAAAACATGAATGGAACGTAATCATGTTTTTAATTAAACCGGAAAACGACTAGAATTTTTATGTATCCGTAATAAATTTTCATGTAGTTTATTTTATCGAAATAATTAAATGTAGTGAAAATTTACATAAACTAAGTCAAATTCCTATTGTTAACATTTAACAATGCCGAAACTAAAACTTTTTTTTTAAACGAAGGACATAAAACAAACTATACTTATTTGTAGGCATCTCATATCTCTAATTATAGTTTTAAAATAAATGCACACCACTAAAGCAATTAGCATAAAAACGGAGGAAAAAGGAAGGCCGTCTTAAGCGTCGTTATACGCGATAACGACCGTATAGACAATTTCAATTATTAAAACATAATGCTAAACTCCTCAAGTATTGTCTTATGAAATTACTTAACATCAAAAACGTATAATATATGTTTTGGCTTTGAACCCTTACTTATATTTTATCACTTTTCGTTATTAACGTACACTCCTCCAAGCATTAACTTAACTCATAACATGGTAAATAGAATTTTATTTTGTTTCGTAAAATTATATGAGTTAATTTATTTCTTATACCATCAATAAATATGAGCGATATTTAATATTTGCGTAAAAAAGATTCTGTTTGCTGGAGCACTGGTTTACTTATTACTTTAACAGCCTTAGCATAGATGTCGCTCACTAAATCTGCACTAAGGTTCTATTAAACTACTCTATGTAAGGCTTTAAGATAATTTTCTTTTACAGTTGTTGTGCACAAATAATTAGCATAAAAAGTGGGCAGTTTGGCACTCTGCGAGAATATGCAAATATTGTGGCTGTGCGAGCACCTGTGCTGTCTTCGTATTAAATCATAAAAAACAAGTTTATTCCTCAATTCATTTTAAAATAAATGTTTGCAAACTACATTGTATTATAACAACAAAGTATTATATTTTTAGTTTAGAGTTAACACTTTTTCACATTTGGCAACTATGCTCAATTAAATTCATTAAATAAGGGTTCCTAACTTTGACTAACTTTGACACTCCAACATCTAGAGGTCTATGAATCGACAACTAACAAATAAGTCAAGTTTAGGCTAAAAGTGGTCACCAGGGAACTCCAATTAACTAAAATGATACTTATACACACTTATTATTTATAAACGGCTTTTTACTTAACATTTAAGTATATAAACTCGACAACTCGGTAACTCCTTAAATAAATTTATTTTTGAGATGTTTAGAAATAGAAGGAGTATAAGTTTATACTTGGTTTGTAGCAAAAGAGGTAAAAGGCTGTTTTTTAATATCCTAGAAAATTAATTTTGCAATTTCTCAAATGCACGAGTTCTAATAAACTTTAACGTAATGTTGTCACTGACAGACAATGTCAGTTTATTGCCGTCGACGATGCAACGTGCAGCATTTACAGCTCATTTCCGGGTGTCTCTTTGAAGAGCTACATTATATCTATCTCTTTAATTATAAAACTCTAGGATAACATTAAATATTCAGCATATTTTCATCTAATAATTAAATTACATTTAATTAATTAATACGATTTATTGTTAAACCAAAAAGTGCAACCACTTACTTTTTAACTTGTAATCGTAGTTTGGCACTACCGAAATATTTACAAAGAAGATGATGCCTCAATAGACAAAGAAAACATATCTTAGTTCGTCTTGTGGCGAGTCAAATAATTTTGTCTTTCTATAAGCAACATACAACTGCAAGAAACAAAAACATCACTATCATATTAAGCATTGGCTGAATTGTTTTATTTTAATGTTTAAATATTGGATATAGTTTGGCGGCAACCCTACGGAGAGCCAAGCGAGTCACGTTGCATCGTGTTATGTTTTAGAAAGAAAACACTAACAGGCATCTTGTCTTCCCGCAATGATACAGTGCAATATTTTTACGACGACCAGTTTGTAAATAACAACAAGAAAACGAACAATATTTTTTTAACAGTGGCGGAAAAATAAATAGAGGATTTTTAAAAATAAAGAGTCAATACGAAGTCTACCGGAAAGATAAAAATAACGAGGAAAGCTGACCTCAAGTCTAATAAGCCAGACTCATAAGAACGAAAAAATTTCAATCTATTTAAAAACAAATTTTTGATGCACGCTATGACTACGATAAACAGGAAGACATTCCGTACCAAGGTTCCAAATTCCGATTATAAATTAGATTACGATCTTTCAGGAAGATAAACAATTGTTGTATTTTACAAAATAAAATGTCATTACGAGTGGAGCAAAAATAGGCAGCATAAACGTGATAAACCACAAAACATATATGTTATTTAATTCAAACTTTTTTTAGTTCAACTTTTATGATATAGAATTTTTTATTTTTATTATCTTAAACAACACCAGATGTGATAAAATTTACGAACATTTTTGCAAAAAAATCATTAACAAACCAATTAATAAGAATTCCTAATACTTACATTAAAGATAGAATATTCACTTAGATATTCATCATAATTATCACACAACATTTAAAAAATTCAAAACGTCTGTCCTTTTGTTTTTAGCAGTACTGTGCTACGAGTAACTTCGTAGCTCGTAGAGGCGGAGTGCTACGACACGGCCACTCGACGAGCATGCGGAGCGCGACTGCTCGCATTTACCGAAACCAAAACCTCTTTCTTTCTACATACGTCTACAGCTAGCGTCTTTATAAACACGATGTACTATATCGCGGCTGTTTATCACGCGATCTTTAAATAAAGCTAAATAACGAACACTAAATACACTTTAAAATTTGTAACCCTTGGTATTTAAATTAAGGGACACGCTTTAAAATATACAAAGGATTCGTATTATTAAATACAACGACAATATTATATATTATCGAAGTGAAAACAATAAAATTATTACCTCTAGATTATTAGGTTTATTATAATATTTAGAAAAATATGTTCGCTATGATTGTAACAAATGTAAGTCTTGATAAAATTCATTTTTAACAAAGTCTCATGAAGTTTTTTTTTCAAATCAAAACAAGAAAACTTGGCAGACACCCAACCTATTAATATTGAGTCGACATTGAGGCTGTATCAAGAAAATGTATATTCTCAAGACGTTAATATGTGTCTCGTTTTATATGTTCTTTTGGCTTTTAGAATTTAAACTTCAATGACTTCAATGGTATGTGTGTTCATTGTGAACTCTTGTAGCCTAAATATCTGGAATGTTTCTTGTATTTCCAAATCGATGTACTACATAAATATTAAGTGTTCATATCGAATTTCTTTGCCATTACCGAAAAAAAATCCTAGCAATACATTTCTGAGAAAATATAATGGAACAGTGTTGAAATCTCCGTAAAGAAATGTTACAGCTATGTCATAACAAACAATTTACCGAAGGCAGAGGGACTACATGTTATATCCAATTGACGGAATACAAAAACGAACAAAATGTTTATTTCTCAATTTACGAAATGTTTATTTATTTTTCAAACCGCTGTAAAACGATTTCATTGATAGTGTTTTATTACTTTTATTAAAATAGGATATTTTAGTAATGTTAATTTACACTATTGCATTATATTGTTGACTTAATAATACAGCGTGTTGTCTTCCCCTTACGTTATTAATTATCTTTTTAAACTCCATCAAAACATGTGAAAATAACAAGGAAAAATCAGATTTTTTCATTTACCCTCAATAATTCAAGAGGTCAGTAACGAACCTCGCCACTCACAACGACGTATTTAATGAGACGATCGAAAAACTAAAATGACAAGCATTTTTTTAAGATACACTGCATTTTACAACTGAAGCCACATATTTCATTTATAAAACAATCGTGTTTGCAAAATTAGCCACGATTAAATCAATGGTTTAATTAGGTTCAGTTTAATTAATTTAATATCAATATGGGGTACATTTCTATGGTATCCAATGCATTAATAATTGCCTGCTTCTCATTTCGTTAAGAAAATATTTATATAATGTATGCATACATATATACGTGATGGATGTGTTTTTCTTGGCATTTGGAACTACGCCAAATGATAGAATAATAGAGCTTTCTTTTCTTTCTCAAGTAAATAAATTATGATTTACCATCATTTCGTGCCATGATTAGCACAACTCATATACATTTTTAAACATACTGTAGATAATGATTAATAATTCTTGGAAGTGGCTGAAACAATCAATCGGCATGGTAGTCAATGGGTAAAAGTCTATTAAAACATCTATCTAAATTACAGTATTCGTTAAACGTATCTTGTAATGATTAGATCATTCTTCGAATTTGGTGAATGACAATTATACATTCCTATCTTGTTTATAATTGAACATAATGTGTGTTGCAACATCGTTTAAGTTTTGAACATTTTCTCGACCTACAAAAGAGGAACTGAAGATACGTAACATAAAATATCTGCCAGCATTATGCAAAACAAGGGCGTGACATGTAAGCTTCGTGTGTCTCTCCGTTGGCACTCAATACATATGGCAACTCAAAAATTTTAAACGTAAAAATAATTTCAAGATTGATCCATTAACACATGTTAAAAATATAAACACAAAATAAAATGACCTTTCTAAATTATATCATGAGGTATGACCGATCGACAGACAATACACATTAACTTAAATTGTGTAAAAGTAATATAATATTCTTGTAAAACTATGCGTATGGAATTTGTGATCGGAAACTCATAAATAAAGCAGTAAAAAGTATTTTACGTGTTTCTAACTTAAATTTTAGCAACTCTTTTTAAAAGCCGAGCATAGTAAAGCTCACGCGCTTAACAACCGCTTTGCTGAGTTTTCACATTGCTATTCATTTATTCCAGCATCAAAGTAAATTAAAGTAGAGCAGAAGTGTTAATAGCGCGTTTTATTCAACAAGATTTTACGTCTTTTATTTTCATGATTTCACTTTCATTTCCAACATCATATTAATTAGTTTCATAATATGTTAACATACAAGTAGTGTGACTTACATTGCTAAACCACTTTTCAAACTGTTTATTCTACTTTTATTTCCTTACAAAATATAGTACAAATATGTACCAGTGCTAAATTGCCGAATACGATGCCTAAAAGAACTTAATTTTTATTTGTTAGTTAATACCAGTTATTAGGATATTAAAATATACTATGAGAGCGAAAACTGCAGCTTAAGTAAAACGTAAATGTACAGATTTTATGTTTAACATATTTTACTTTCAAAATCTTTTAAACGCCATGCATCTTTTTGTGGTTATACATACATCGTGCATAAACGAACTGAACTAACAGCTCGTTGCGAACCTTTTTAAATTTTTTGGGTCAATTTTTATACTCTAAAGACTTGCATTTTTGACAAGTCGTACTTTTAGTTTACATATGCAGTATTAAACCTTTTTTGAAATATTTTAACACATAATTTTATGTAGTAGAAATTGCATCATTTTCCTTGAGGTTTCCTCCTAACCTTTATAAAATTCTATTATCTTAAATTGTGCTAGTATAAGTTCTTATATGAAACGCCGTATCGTAAGTAAATTAACGCTCAATTCTCGTCACTTATAGCAATATGATTAACACCATAAATATAACAAGTATGGTTGGAGCCAATTTATGTTCGACTATCATTTAGTGACGCGACATTGCTAATAAATTTATTTGTACTCGAGAACAAAACAATGTTTTCTATTTTAAGACAAAATGTATTCATAATTTAATTTCTTTTTAATATAAAAACATTTTGTGTGATAGGTAATATAGAACAAAATATGATTTTTTAGGTAAGTAGTTATAATAGATAAAAGGCGTTGATAGAAAAACAGACGATGAAAATTATTAAGAAGCATTATAAAGTCTCACCACTTAATTCAATTTAAACTTTTGTCTAGACTGCAGAACAACGTCATTGCTTATTTCCCTTTAACTTTTATTTTCAAGTAACTCGCTATGCCACTTTCTGAATAAACAAAACAGCTCTGTTTACTTTATCTGATATTTACCGTACAAAATATAACTAGGTAAGAAAACCTTAATCTTTTAGCATTGTAGAACAAAATAAACTAAAATTTATGTGATAAGTCGAAGATTCTTTAAAAAAATTGTTGGTAAACCAAATCTACCTTTGTACAAAAAAACAAAAAGGAAAATTGTACAAAAGTTGTTAACAATCCGTAATAATTGCTTGCTGGAAACAAGTTCTTTAGTATTAAAACGTTTGTACGTCTCATATAAAACTCTTCTATAAAATAAACAAGTAAAGAGAGTGTTAATGTTGAGATCAAAAACATATTTGGGAAGCCAACAAAGTCTGACAATAAATATTTATAAATGTTTTAAAACAGCAACACGCTTTAGATAAGTTTTGAATTATACCTACTGTATAGATAAGATGCTTACAATAACTACTGGGTAGCGAGGTTATAACAAATAGCATCGAAATCGTAATACGCCTAATTGAAAATATTAGCAATAAAAATACTTAATTGAAAGTGATACGGTAAACAGCGTCAAACGGAAAGCTTTAGTTATGAGAAATTTATGTTAATTTTCTTTTACAATTTAAATTCAATCTAACCGCGTGAAGATATATTTAGTTATTTGGCAATGTATTTTTCCTTGTCATATATAATATGCAAATACATAGATATCGATGTCATTTTACGAAGGAAGAATGTACAAACTTCCACTTGATGAACCAAGACTTATGACTAAGAAGCAATATGCCACAACTGTGTAGACCGGATATTTGCGGTCGAGAAGATGCTATTGCAAATCAAATTGTTAATTACATAGCGGTAAATGTGAATTTTATATATTTAACTTCTATAATAGATTATTATACATCTATATTAGCCTACAACACATCGTAGTAGCTTGCTTTATTTATATCCTTTACGATTGAGGTTTTCCGATCTTCTCTTTACGTTGTTTTTTGAGAGTTTTAATCTTATCTTTTTGTATATATATATATATATATATACAGGCTAACATCCCATAGAGTCGTGAAGTAACTA